CCGAGTCGCACTACTTCCACCTTCGGTTTCTGCCCTATTTCCTCTAAAACCTCGCCGATTCTTACCTCTAACTCTTCCTGCTCCTCCTCCGGCAAACCGAAAACAAGAAGATTTCGACTACGGTCCTCTTCTGCGACTACGGTCTTCACAACATTTTTTAGGGCTTCTGGGCAGATAACTGGGGCAGTTACCGTCTGTGAATTGCTGACAATTGCGCTGTAAGTCTTAATCTCCTCTTTAACTGAATCAGCGACTGAGGTTTCCACGATTTTCTTCATAGATTCCAGTTTCTCGGACTGACACTGAGAGAGCTCCTGCTGAACGCTGATGAGAGTTTCCTGGTTCTGAATCAACTTTGCCTGAAGAGTTGTGCAGCAATTTCGGTACGACTCCACAGTATCCATTAAATAGCCAATGTACTCATAAGACCGACTACAAATGCCAACAAGTTCTGGCTTATTCACTGATTTCGCAAACTTCGGATCTGCTATGTCCGTCATCTTTCCGTACGGTTTGCCAAAGTTCCGCAACTGCTCTTTGCTCCAAGAATAAATCTCATCCCACCTGTAGTTAATACTTTCCAAGTCCATCTTTTCCATGATTACAGTTAAAGTTACACAATACAAGACGAGCGACAGGCTGAGCGGTGTCGTGATAAGCCTTGCGATAAGAGAGCAACAAATCAGCAGCAAATGTGAATGTGCTATTACTGAACCCTCAGGTGATCCCAACAAGGACTTTGCAGTAGTACTGGGTGAAGTTCATAAGTCAGCTGCTGAGACCCTAGGTTACAGGAAGGCTAATAATAAGTGCTTCTTCTCTAATGACCCTACTGTTGTTGCCCTAGTCGCAGAACGACACAATATACGCCTTGCCCTGGCAAGCACCAACAAGCCCTGTGATAGCTCTGTACTGCGAGGACGGAGAAATAAGCTCGGTAAAGACATCAAAAAGAGACTGAAGGAGCTAGAGTGTGCTAAGGCTGACCAGTTAGCTGAAGAAATTTCATCAACTGACGACACGCATCAAATGTTCGAAGCTGTGAGATCCTTAGCTAAGACCAAAGAGACAAAGCTTATAGTTGTCCACAATAAGGATGGGTACCCTATTGGTACAGACCTTGCTAAAGCTGAAGTACTCCGTGATTGGTACGAAGAACAGCTGACTGGAGATGAACCTGCCCTCGATCCGTTCTCCCCTCGACTGCCCTATCACAGAATATGAGGTAAAAACCGCTGCTAAACGCCTCAAGAACGGCAAAGCCAACGGACCTGACAATACCCCCAATGAGCTCCTCAAGTATGGTGGGAGAGCGCTATGTGTCCATTACGCCAAAATCATTAACACCTGCTTTAAAGAGAACCTGTTCCTTGACGCTGTCGGAGAATGTTTCATCACCCCTCTTCAAAAGCCTGGCAAGACTCCTGGTGAACTGAAAAGCCTCAGACCCTTGACATTATGTAACTGTGCTCGTAAGCTGCTATCCCTCATTACACCCAGGAGAATTGAAGCAAAGGTAGACGCTTACACAGGTCCATGGCAAGCTGCCTACAAGCAGAAGAGAAGCTGTGGAGACCTGGTATGGTGTCACCGTATGTTGATCAGCATCGTAAAAGAAAGAGAGTGGTCTTTCCATAAGATGGGCCTAGACATGTCCAGTGCCTTCGATACGATCAGTAGGCAGACTGTGCTCAACCTCCTAGAGGACGCAGGGTGCACAAGAGATGAGATCAGACTAGTGAGATTCCTCCTGAGCAACACCAAGATCAAGGTGCGAGTCAACAACGCTACCTCCCTTGAATTCATCAGCACCAATGGAGGACCCCAAGGTGATAGTGTTTCAGGCCTCTGTTTCACAATCACTCTAGCTGGTGCCTGCTACCACCTGCGTGCCGTGACGCTGCGCCCAACCCCTCCTATAAGCCCTAGTGGCATGCCTGAAGAAGATGCCTACTCTGATGACATCGACTATCTTGGTGAAGACAAAGATGCTCTAGAAGCCCTCCTCCCTATCGCTACTAAGGTGTTCAAAGAGTGGAATCTGAATATTAATGAATCAAAGACAGAGTTTGTACACGTCTACATAGCTGGGAAAGATGAGGTCATGGATGATGGTAAACCCCTTAGAATGAATGAAGAATGGTGCGGTAGCAAGTTATTGGGTTCTCTGCTAGAAAGTAGGAAAGATGTCACCAGAAGAATCATGTTAGCCAATGTAGCATTCCAGAACTTCAAGAAGGTCTGGTGCCAGAGTAAGATCCCCCTACAGAAGAAGCTGAAGGTCTATGAGGCCCAAGTAGTATCTATCCTCATGTATAACTCTAGTTGCTGGGGAATGCCTAAATCGTACTGGGACAAACTAGATGCATGTCACCGTAACCACCTCAGAAAGATCATGAATGTCAGCTGGCCACGCAGTATGATGTCCAAAGATACCCTCTACAAACAGAGTAACTCTACTTATGTCTGAGCGTGCTGAGTTATCTAGGTGGAAGATGCTAGGACACATACTGAGGAGCGATGAAAGATCACCAGCTCAAGCTGCGCTGTGTTTTACTGTCGAGATGTGCAGTGAAGCTGGTAGACTCGGGGCTCACAGACGTAACCTCCTACACCACCTGAAGGTTGACCTCTGGAAGCGTTTCATCTTGCTTAAGTCGTATGATGATATTCTTCATTTGAGAGAACTTGCTAGTGACCGTGGTTATTGGAGTAAATTGTTCGACTTTATACTTGAGTACAAGTCAATTTGACTTTTGGGACATATAATCTTACAAAGGATCACATTTCGGTTCTAAATTATTTTAGGATTGTTGACATTTGTAAGATTGACATGTTTGATAATAAGCACAACTATTTAAATAGTTTACTAACATAGCACAATTATTGAAATAGTTTACTAACATAGCAAAAAAGGCTTCAGCTGCAGCAAAATCATCAAATGAAAACACCTTTCTGGTGGGACTGGGGTCTGTCAAAATTAGGAAAACAGAAATTTCTAGAATCCCTACATGATAGGCTCCTGGCATACACAGCGGAAATCTAAAATAATAAACTAAAATAATTTACAAGCAAGCCTATTATATCTGAAGATGGGAGAAAAGTCCTTCGTAGAAAACTACAAAAGGCCATTCTCGAAGAAGGACAAACCAATTACATTGATTGAACGGAACTATGGATAGTACAGATAATTTATATCCCCAACAATCGTACCCGCAATACCACAGTTATCACAAAATAAATAATAGATAAATAAACTTTAATTTAACATTTCTAAAACGGTATTCTCAATTTTTCTTTCGATAACGTTTCGATAACGTTTCGATAACGTTAACGACACAGATAAACTAGAAGTTTTGTGAAATTTCATGAAAAATGTAATTAAGTAAAGATTATGGCAAGTTAGTTTATAGCTTAAATGCGTATTATTATACACAACTTAAAAATGTGCACTTAAGTCTAACATTTCTTGGATAAGTTTCAACATTCTTGTAAGTGATATCATATATTGGTCCTTATTAAACAGGTCGGCAAAATTTCTCAATTAATGACGTCCCCTAATTAAACAGGTACAGGTCGGCACAATTTCTCAATTAATGACGTCCCCTAAATGGTGTAGCACCTAAATGGTGTAGCACCTAAATGGTGTAGCACCTAAATGGTGTAGCGCCTAAATGGTGTAGCACCTAAATGGTGTAGCACCTAAATGGTGTAGCACCTAAATGGTATAGCACCTAAATGGTTTAGCACCTAAATGGTGTAGCACCTAAATGGTATAGCACCTAAAGGGTATAGCACCTAAAGGGTATTATAGCACCTAAATGGTATAGCACCTAAATGGTATAGCACCTAAATGGTATAGCACCTAAATGGTATAGCACCTAAATGGTATAGCACATAAATGGTATAGCACCTAAATGGTATAGCACCTAAATGGTATAGCACCTAAATGGTATAGCACATAAATGGTATAGCACCTAAATGGTATAGCATCTAAATGGTATAGCACCTAAATGGTATAGCACCTAAATGGTGTAGCACCTAAATGGTGTAGCACCTAAATGGTGTAGCACATAAATGGTATAGCACCTAAATGGTATAGCACCTAAATGGTATAGCACCTAAATGGTATAGCACCTAAATGGTATAGCACCTAAATGGTATAGCACCTAAATGGTATAGCACCTATATGGTATAGGCCCAGGTCAAGATCCTTAAATATCTAGCCATCTCCAAGCCGACCAATCACACAAGATTGCCCAGTTTGATGTATCAAACTTTTGTTTTTATTAGTACCATACGACCAATAATTGGTCGTTCACACGCAAATAATAGCCTATACCGTATAGGCTATAGCACCTAAATGATCGGGAGATAGATAAATGGTATAGCACCTAAATGGTATAACACCTAAATAGTACAGCACCTTAATGGTATAGCACCTAAATGATGATCGGGAGATAGTGGGTTCAATTCCCACTCTCAGCACATCTCACCTTGACTTTTCACGAAACGTACTACCTTACTGACATGTAGCTTACTGACATGATTCAGTGAGCTACATGATTTGTTGGTGAACTGTTATAAGCGTTTTCTAGTCGGTATTGATTATAGTGCAAGATGCACACAATGTATACTATACATTGCATTGTACACTGTACTGCCGTGCTATTAAAGTATATCCGGTTCTAAGAATACACACAGCACAAACAAACACGTCATTATTGCAACGAATAATTGTAATGTAAGTGTCACTTTAAATAATTAACGTTATTATTTTCATGTTACTTAAAATAATAAACTTAATTATGATAATAAGTAATGTTACTTTACATGATAAACGTTATTATTTCAAAGCAACTTTGAATAATAAAGTAAACATCGTGTGTTACTATAATTAACACTATAATTAATAAATGTAATTATTATATCGTTACTTTGAACTAGTAGTGTTGACTGTGTGTTTACTTGTATTTACACTAAGTAAACTAGTGACTTACCGACAGTATAAGTGCTTGCATCAGTAATCTTGAGAACTGTTGCTGGAGACCACACATTATCTTTCTTCGCTTCCACTGTGCTTTGCATCTGACACACATCATTAGCTATTAAAACAAATCCCCCAAATGTTGTGAATGTCACGTTTCTTATCGGTATTTTGATATTTTTGGAACATGTACATATTACATGAGCAAAACTTGTAAGAATTGTAACGTATTGTTATAGATAACACATGTAAGAATTGTAACGTATTGTTATAGATAACACGTGTATCCCTTACCTTGACTACACCTCTAATGTTGTCTTGAGTTACGGTTGCTGACCCCGTTAACGGCTTGTTCCATGAAATCTGGAAAGTAACATTTTACATATTTTACATATCAGATACGTATCATGTATGTTATACAGCTCACTATCTGCTCATGCTAATAACATAATAGCAATAACAGCAGGTCACATGACACATAACATCAGGTCGTCACTAGGCTATCAATTATCGGAGTGGATAGCCTAGTCATCACTATTTCCCACTTCTTGGAATATCTCTCTCCTCAATTTAAGTATGAGACAAGAAAAAAAAGAAAAGTTGATTAGTTAGAAATAAAATAAAACTATTTACCCGTATTTTGATAAGTTTTTTGACATGTTTAATTGTGGCCTCGCAGAAAGCCCCACGGTATTTAGCACTGACTTCCGTCCCAACTTCTAACACATCCTGCAAATACGTGTATAGTAACCATAGTAACATAGCAAATATGTGTATAGTAACCATAGTAACATAGCAAATATGTGTATAGTAACTATAGTAACATAGCAAATATGTGTATAGTAACTATAGTAACATAGCAAATATGTGTATAGTAACCATAGTAACATAGCAAATAGGTGTATAGTAACCATAGTAAAGGTGTTAATAAATATGTGGTGTTATTTATTTCAAACGCAAATATCTGGAGAAGGATTCGATGTTATACAATAAATAAGGGGTATATAAGTTATATAACACTAGCAGGAACCCGTATAATATAACCCTAAACGGTGTCAAGACTCAAAATACTAAAATAATTATTACCTATTTAATTGGCGTTTTTGACACCACTTGGGGGTCCAAATTTTCGGCTCTAAAATCATTATTCCTTGGCCAATTTTTTATTTTTTCATGCTGATCTGAAGGCCATTAAAGCATTTGACCCAGCCAAAAAAGTTCCAGTTGTATATCTTTTACGGTTTATGCGGAAAGTCGCGTTAAAGTTGATGCCGTGGTGTCAGTAAAATGGCACAGATATATATATATATATATATATATCGTCTCGCTTTATATATAGTAAGATAGCAATTAAGTTCAAGATATGAAATTGCTAAGTAGATTTATAAGTAGACTCACCGACATATATTAACTAGCTAGCAGCCACCCGACCAACATATACCAAGATTAGGTGTGGATTGCTTGCGGAGTAGTCGGATAGATAAAGTACAGTCTGAATTGCGGGCTGGAGCGACCAGCCAGGGACAGGGTTTGTATTCACACCGCGAAGTTCATTCTTTAGCACAACATTGCACTGCTATATAATATAATATCATTGGTACTGGGTGTTAGTTGTTACAACTTTAATATTAAATGATGGAGTAGTTTGCTGTTTATTAGTCTCGTGATTGAAATACTGAAACAACTTCCTGTTTCATTCGTCCATGTCTCTTCCAACCGGATATTATCCAACTATCAACTTTAATATTGGCACGGGTTGTGCATAAATGATATAATTACCAATTTCCATTCATACAGAATGAAATATTCTCCGAACTGATGATCTTAAATAGTTCTAGGAGTAATGACTAATAGCATAATGTTTGATAACATTATAATATCAACTTTATTTTCGAAATCTGATTACTAATACCAAAAGTATTAGTTGATAAAATTCACAAATCAATTAATTAATATAACAACCTTAATTGATTGGCTGACCCTGTATAAAAAATAATATAAAAAGACAAAAAAAATTAACTATCAAAATTAAAGCAAAAGTTATATCTTTAAAAATCTAAAATCCAACTGGTTTGAACGAACAGCTTATTAGTCATAAACAGTACAATAAACATTAAAGAGTTTGCAGTAAAAGTACCCAACATTAGGGATCCCCAGTAGAGACACTGCCAAAATGTTGCCCAAAGTATATCCATGCACTATTTCATCCAAATTGCCAACTCGAAAAAAGAAAAGAAATAATGATTAAACCTTGTAGCTTTGTAGTACGTATGATTTTACATCTAATTAAGGAATCGTAATCTTTATGCGAGGCAAATCAGATTAATCAAACCTCATCTTTTTCTGCAGTGACTGTAATTGCTGACTGTATATTTGAGTTTTTTGCAAAATAAGTGTCTAACAGAAGAAGAAATACAAAGTAACAGGTTATGAGCAGATCCCGATCATGAGTGACGTCACCATTGTAGTCATACCAATACCCAAACACTAAGACGGCAATGTATTGCAGCACCAACCTGTACTGTAACTTGCCACTACGATAGCTCCAACCACGGACAACAAACGTTGCTGCACTCAATACACCACTGCACATTAGATAAATTTTGAAGTGTGTCTTTGAAAAATCATACTTTCCTGCTTGAACTACCTCACCTGTAAGTGTTCCGTATAGAAGCAGGGCAGATATTGCTACAGAAATTTTAACAACAGCTTGTTTGATAGTAGATTCAAAGTCAGAGGGTGTGTTGCTCAAGCTTATCATTGCAGAAGTGCTCATAATGTGACACAAGAAGCACATGAGAATGTAAATATCAACTGTACTGAGCAGCAGTACAAACAATGGAATCGACATGAACACAGAGTTAACTGTCTGCGCAACCACAGTAAACAGAGATTTTGCAGTTCTAAGACGAACAATACTTTCCACGATGTGAGTACCTAGAATCTGTCCTGAAATAAAGACTGGAATCGGTAGAACGCCAAGTGCTCTAGACCCAAAATACATAGAGACTGTTAGAAGTAAAGAGCTCATCAGACAAGTCTGCAGATCGGATAGTGTCAAGGTCATGACATGGTGCCTGTACAACACAATTATAACAAGGAGAGCAATTGACAGTTGCCAGGACAGGAAAATACTGGGGAATCTAAAATTGTGCAGAGTCAAAACAGTTTTGTTGGATATGAGGTACGCTGAAGGTACCAGTATTGCAAGAGACCTAAGAAGAGCTTTCTTCATCTTAAGGGTAGTGGGCTTTTACATCTTTAAACACACTGTGAATACTATCATTCTATCTGAAATAATAATCAATTATTTTCATTCATTATTAACCTATTTGACTAGCGCGAACAACTAAAGTTACTGCGGGTGTTGAGACTGAGACATTGTTGAACTTCCTAAGAAGTAAACACTAAACACTAATCTTTTCACAATGCAGACAGAAAAACGATTGAGAGAAAAATTAAATGATGGTCCTTGTCTTTAAACCAATAACACCAATGTTGAGGATGCAACCAAGCAGGAGATAACAAAGAAGGTAATGCAGTCAAGGATACAAGGATACAAACATGATAATATCTTATATAGAATTCATTTGTGGTTGTTATCCTTAAATAATTCACAGTAATTAAATGAAATTACAATTTAGTATAACAAAGAATTTAGTACAACAATTAGCCTAATGGTTAAAGCATCCGCCTTCAGCGCAGAAGGTTTAGGGTTCGAATCCCAGTATCACCTAGTCTAGGGAGTAGCTAAGGATCCATTAGATCTATGCCATCTCCTCGATCGACTCATCCGAATGATAGGAAACTTAATTGAGGGTTAAATGAGGGTACCTGACGAAAGTTCAAAAATTTTTCTATGATATCCCTTCAGTGCATACTGTAAACATAGTACTATCAACTATAAAAGGTTGGGTACAAGAATATAAGGATACAGGTGATTAATTAGAAACTTTTATTTTGAAACTAATTACAACACTACAAACCTATAACATTTTTTTAGGACGTAAAAGAAGGAATTAATTTAATGAAGTAAGAGGAATCCTCACCCGCCTCACGTCCAACAATGGCCTTTCTCTTGTCGCTTATATGAATGCACAATCATACAACAAGGAATTGTCAATACAATTAGCGAATAAGAATTTTAGAGAAACAAATTTAGGCTGAAAAAGTGCTCAAGCTGGATAAGGTAGGCAAATGTAAGCAGACTCGGCGGTAATAATGTAGGATTTTGTTTTACGTGCAGACAAAAGCAAACTTTGTCAGATCGACACAATTGCAACATTCAAATATAAAAAGTATTCATACAATATATACATAATTTCACAATGACCCAATATGAAATAATGCAAAAGATAATCACATCAATATGAATTGAAAATCACCCTTGGCCTTGGCCCTTGGGGGTCCAAGTTCAAATCTGGACTATCTATATTCACAAAGTTCTTTCTATCACATTCACTTTAGGTGGAAATTTAAACAACTTTAGATACAGTTAAATGGATAAATAAACGTGATGCAACAACTGACAATGCTAAAGAACTTATAATGACACTTTAGTAAGTATGAATAATTTAAATAATAATAATATGAAGAAATAATTTAAATATGCATATGTTAGCATATAAACTTGTATCACGTGGTGACCCCCACGGTCGCTTCACTATTATATATAGCTTCACTATTATATATAGAGTTTCGACGATACAGGCGGGTCATACAACGTATGACAAATATAAACATGATTCGATTGTTGAAAGTTTGACAAAAATTGCTTTTTTATTTGCGGGCAACGTGTACAGTGTAGCGATTAAAAATATAATTTGCATTAATTCTGAAGTTTAGATTTTTTAGTATATTACAATAATATGTGTGATGTGAGTACACAAGAACTAATTATTAAAATAATAAGGCTTATTTGCAGTATTATAACAAATTGATTTTTGACGGTTGTTACTCATCTAAATTTCTTCGAAGTAGCGCGCGCCGCTTTCTTCTCAAAATGTGGCCCAATGGCACGTGCTACGAATTAGCGCGCGCCGGGCCAGACCATTAACAATGGTCAAGTTGATTCACTATGTCAATCCTTGCGAGAAGATGCGCGGCACGGCCCGGTAGTGCATTGCGATTCCACATATAACAAGTAGCGAGCAATTTGATTTTAGAGTCATTATTTTTTGTTAATTGACGATGTCAATTAATCGCAGCTTGGCGCGGCACAATAGCGCATCTCGCCGATCTGCGAGAAGCCTCATTGAGTGCGCGGCGCGGCACAGTAACAAATCAAATCAAATCAAATCAAATCAAAATATAATGACACAAACATCATCACACATCATCAAAAATATATCTACTAAAGTTTTAAAAATATCTTAAATCTATTGGCCTAAACAACCAAGATAACCCAAGAAAAGTTACTGGCTGGTGGTGGTACTAGAGTTGGTTTAATTTAAACAGACGGCTCGACCTCGCGCGCGACATCAAGCATGATTTGCACGCGTGGCGCATTCCACTATTCAAACAGCTAGCACGTGACACAATTCAGCCAATCAGAGTACATAATAGGGTGTTTTGGCTGTTCTAACTCAAGACTTTTAAGAATTAAAGCAGCCGTATTGATCTTCCAAACCTACAACTTTCAAGGGCTAGAATTAGCTGTATTTTGCCGTTAAAACACAACTTGTACTGTTTTAATTCATGATTGGGCCGTTATCCAAAAGCCAATTTGACAAAAAGTGGTGCTAACGGTCTCACTTCCCAGGAAAAGTTACTGGCTGGTGGTACTAGAGTTGGTGGTACTAGAGTGGTACTATGGTGGTACTAGAGTTGGTTTAATTTAAACAGACGGCTCGACCTCGCGCGCGACATCAAGCATGATTTGCACGCGTGGCGCATTCCACTGTTCAAACAGCTAGCACGTGACACAATTCAGCCAATCAGAGTACAGGAATCCGCAAAGTTAAAGCTGTGTACTTTTATAAGGCCCAAAATAAGAATTTTCGCGATAATTCAAAATCTACATTGTTTTGAATTTTCCCCCTGGGGGGGAAACGTTATTTTTACAAGGCGAACATTTTGTTGAAAACCAGACGTTTCTATCTTTTTTATTTTCGAAGTTAGGCCCCTACCAGTAAGGGTTTCTGGGAAAATGAATCTAATTTACATACTTTCCACTACTATATAAGTTAATAAAGCGTTTCTTAGCAACATGAGGATGACACACAAGATATTCATTGTGCTTCTCTTTATTAGTCCGAAACATACCAAAAATGAATATCATTTACGGATCCGTTTAAAATAGTCTCTTTTTTGAAAGCTTCTAATCTTATTTTAAAACTTAACACAGTCCCACAATTCTTGACATCCGAGGGGAGTTTGTTCCAATATGGTCTCACCCTCTCCGGAAGAAAAGAACTGTGGACTTTCTTCATTTTACTGCTACTTTTACTGCATCTACTGTTTGATACCAAATTAAGACCAGATCTGCTCATACTGAACAAACCAGCTCCGTAATTGGCCAAACCACTTATCATTTTAAAACGCATCGCGCTACACTATTTTTGCAGCTCTACTGTTTGTTTAATTGATAAATAATATTAA